GTTGTTGCTGCTGTTGTTGTGGTTGTCTTATCATCTTCAGCTTCTTCTTTGCGTTAGTCGAGCTTGCCCATCCAGTGCAGGCAATCGGCCTTACCCGAGAGAAGGAAACCTGGCTGCACAAAGAAGCGGCACCCTCGTCAACAAGATAGACACCTCTCAGAGAGTACTGAAAGGGTCATGGGACCTAGTAACTAGGGTTATAGATGAGGTAACTGTTATAACTACTGAAAACCCTATTTAAGGTGCCTATATCCTTACTTACCGACTGCCATGATCCCCCCAAGTAAGGGAGACTCGGGGTTCTTGGTGTTTCGGGGCTCCGTGGCTTCGGGCCCTCGAGGCATTTCTTCGGTATTTCCAGTCAGACTTAGAGACACTTGAAAGTCAGCAGGTACCCTCTTGGCCGCAATTTGGGCCCTGTAAAATGGCAAGGCAAGCGGAGGCCTCCAAAAAGGCCTTGCAGTGGGGTGGCTCCTCAATTCGAAAAGCCCAGAATCGCGAACAATGCCTAAACACGCAAACCTTCAAACCCTAAACCTGAAAACCATGAGCCGCTAAACCCAGCGATCCCTACAAACCCCTCAACCCCCCATTTGCACTGAGGAGCCCGAGATCTGGGATGCGATTCGCCACTGGGCTGTTCTTTGATCTCTTGTAAGCACGGTTTAGGGGTTTAGGGTTTAGGGTTTAGAGCCATCCCAGCATAGAGAGGAAGTCAGCTGCAGCATCCCTGGTCGGGACTTAGCCCGAGTTGTGACTCCTTTCGTTCTATCCGTTCGTCAATAGAATGTTACAAGGTTTGGAGGCCCACGGCCTGCTTTTCCGGCCGAACATAGAGGTACTCAGCCTCAAAACTCGAAACCCTGAACCCCAGGCGTTAAACTCCAAACCCTAAACTCTAAACCCTAAACTAGCTTTAACGTAGTAGACTGAACACCAGGGCAAAAGTCCGCATTTTCCATTCAACTGTAGTACCGTCTCTCATATACAGCCTCGACACACTAACTTTGGAACTTAGGCACCTCAAGACGATAGATGCCTGGTGCCATAAATTCCTGAGGAGAGCCATAGGAGTTAAAGCCTCGTACTACTCCCATGTCTCTAACCGCAGGGTTTGGGTATTTGCAGGAAGGCCCAAGCTCCCGTCACAAACGCTACTCCAACAACAGCTTTCCCAACTGTGCAAACTTCTGGTTACACCGCCAACTAACCCACTCCATCATATCGTGTTCTCGCCTGGATATAAGGATAGAATTAAGTTTACCAAATCTGCAAGAAGAGGACATCCTCAACGGTACTGGCTAGAGCAGACAGCCGAATTGGCTTTGATCGCATTTCGCCAGCACCTTGACCACACCGCCTCAGATAATAGGAGGGACTTACTTGGACTTAAACAATACCTTGCGATAAACCCAGAATATAGCCTACAATTGGAGACTGCGCCGACGCGCTCGCCCGCTCTGTTCAAAAGACACGCAAACGCACTTGGATGCGCATGGCAACCGTAAAAACTAGCTTTAAACTTGCCAGCCTGAAGCCAGATGGGCTTGAAGGCAAGGCTTCGCTTAGCAGATCAGACATATTCCTTCTCCATAGCTTGTGCGATGTTGGGGTGAGGGGTTTAGGGTTGACGGTTGACCATGACGGCCGTCATAATCGCCGACGCCCGCTACAAATCGTACCAGTGATGTGTGATCTCACAACATACAGGCACCGATGCAGAATACACATACCCGCTAAAACGCTCAAGCTTAAACCCCGGAACATTACATTGAACCCTACACCTTCTACCCTTAACCCAAAGCTCCGAACATTTCTTGCAGGTTTTGGTGCGCTTCTGGAGAACGTGGTCTTCGACACCCGGACAGGAGGGGAGTCACAGCCGTTGTGCCCCGAACGGTGGGTTCATGACTCAAATCTGGGGTTCTGGCAAAAACGGAGCGCAAGCCCAAGCACTAGCGCCGAGTACTTCCTTGAAGACTTCACCAAACCCAAATTCGAAATCCAAACCGCAGACCTCAAACCAGGGTCCCAACTTGAATCTAGTCGAAGCCCTGGCAGGTGAGGTGGACTACGAGGATGGCAGCATCACGGAGAACACGAGAGCCCCTTGGCAAAGCTGTCCTTTGAAAGACATTAAAAGCCCTGCTAAACCTCCTGACCTCCCATCCCAGCCCAAACCCATGAGCCTCGTTCCCTACATACGTGTTGAAAGCCCCACACATGGCTTTGAGACACCCAGGTGTCCTATCCGCTCGAGTACATCCCCAATGCCTCCTTGCTGCACCGACGAAGACGTCAAACAGACGAAGTCTGCATCATCCTGCTACGACTACGACGACTACGACGACTACGACGACTACGACGACTACTACGACTACTACGACGACTACTACTACCACCAATACTACTACTACTACTACTACTACTACTACTACTACTACTACTACTTCTACTACTACTATTACCACTACTACTACTACTACTACTACTACTACTACTACTACTACTACTACTACCTACTAC